CACATTGAGTTATGATTTCTTCAGAATTTGACCCACACAATGCTATGGCCACAGTGTGAGCCAGTCTGTACTAATCACCCATTCTCTACAAACATTACTGTTCTGCAATCAGTCTCAAAATGATAATGAACTTACGGTCATGTGAGATTAGAGGTGTCCCTTTATGATGTGAATGATTTAATTTAGACAGCAGAATGAAACTGGTAGGTCAGACAAGGCAGGAAGAGTTAAAGGCTACAAAAAACAAAAACAGAGTGGCGTAGTCATCTAGGGACTGCTAAAGGGCCTGGCAGTAACTAGCTCATAATGTTAGAGAGAGACAGAAAGAGAGATGTGCCAGAAAATATCTTCCACACACAGCAGTTTGGCTGCGTCTCATCTGTTCTTGTTCTCTGTTTCACTGCATCTGTAGAGGATTGTCTCAAACAATAAGAGGCACAGACCAGACGTGTTCACGGTAGTGGGCATCAGTCTGTCTGTCATTTTTAAATTGAGCATATTTCTGAATTATAATGTCAAAAAGACAAGAAGAAAAATTCTGTACAATTTATAGATCAAAATCTGAGATCAAAAACATGTCATGGGCTGAAAATAAGAAAGGCAGCAGATCATTACACTTGAGACTGTGGAATGACAAGACGTTTAGCAATGTGGCTAACAATTTTACTTCTTTTCTGTCAAGGGACCAGGTTCAGTTAATTAACTGAATTGTTTTTGCTCTAATAAGCTGGCAAAACAGTATAGTAGAGGTGGTATTACTAAGGTCTGACACCCTGCTACCACTGCAAGACAGCTTCCAATGAAACAGCATGATCAAACCTTAGAAGTCACACCTCTATAGAGTTTGAATGGGTGAAAAGAGAATGGCAGGTAAGATGGCAGCTCATCCCAAGAGATACAAAGGAGGTCTTCAAAATCTACAACTGCCTTACAGTAACTGTCCTGCTCCCTTCATCCCTAATTCTACTTTCACACCTTTATGTCAGTCTTTCCACCTGTCTACCTCTGTCTTTGCTGGCTCATGCTCACTCTTCTTTATTCCACAGACACCCACTACATTCAAGTGTATTGGGGATTCATGTCTGGCCCCCCCTGCCAATAAAGCAAACCTGCGCTCACTGAGAGGTGGTGAGGCTTGGCAGGTAAGAAGAACTTAAATGGATGCCTTAAATGTCACTCTTTGCTCTCTGCTGGCCAAAACACAATAGTGATCATAACATACAGTACTGTCCATTACTCATGATTAGATGTTGCTTGAACTAATTCTGAGACAGACCAACAATAAGGAGGAAGGTGTTACCTGTTGCATTGGAAATATAGTGCAAACACCCAGTATATCATCCATTTTGTAACAATGTCGTCAATTTAGATTTGTTTATACAGCATTTTAAAATATGCATTAATGGGCCTTTTTTACATTTTGAGTCACAGGAGGAAAAGCACAGGTATAAGGACTCTAACAAGGACTCTGTTTAATCAGTCAGTGAGCCAACTACAACAGTGGCAAGCTCTGAAACTGGTAAAGTTAAACAAATGTGTAGCACTCAATGCTATTAATTACACCTGGGGTTTTCTTGCTATGACATGTCGAAAGGTCTGCTGTGAAAAAGGGCCAACTCACTGCCCACAGCTGTCAGTGGATCACCAGCTTTCTGACAGACAGGAAGCAGCTGGGGAAAACCACATCCAGCACTTGGTCAGTCAGCACAGGCAACCCCCGAGGGATGTGTACTCTACCTGCTGCACTTCTCCACCTACACCAACAACTGCACTTCTGTTAAACTCCTGAAGTTCACAGAAGACACAACAGCCATCGGTCTCAACCAAGATGGTGACGAGGAGGTTGAACAGCTGGCCCTGTGGTGCGGTCCCAACAACCTGCAGCTGAACACGCTCAAAATGGTGGAGATGACAGCGGACCTCAGGAGGAGCCCACCCACCCAACCCTAGCCCCCTCACCATTCGCAGCAGCACTGTATCAGCAGTAGAGACCTTCAAGTTTCTGCGCTTCACAATCTCCCAGGACTTGAAGTGGATGTCCAACATCAGCACCATCATCAAGAAGGCACAGCAGAGGATGTACTTCCTGTGCCAGTTCTATGAGGAAATGATTAAGTCGGCTCTCTACTGATCCATCACTATCTGGTTTGGCGACCAAACAGTGCAATAATTTATAGATGTAACCACTGTATTATCTGAAAGCTCTTCTGCCACAATGTATGTCAAATTCTTTAAGCGTTCAACATACCTGTCCAATAAAACTGATTCTATTTCTGATTCTGGTAGTTTGCATGAAAATATTGCAGAAAAATAAGAAGTAACAGGGACTATGAATGCCATTTCAAAAATAAAACGATTGCACTATAGATTATGTATGTTAACCACATTAGAAAGGTTAAAGTAAAGCAAAGTTCCCACAGAGAATAAAATGATCTGGACTGGTGACTGCTAACAGTTAGCAGGTAGCTAACAGTAGGCAGAAAGTCCTTTCCGTGCTATTTGAGCCAGACCCTGCTTATGTCTTAAAAACTGCACATTACCAGTTTTAAGTAATGGTTTTCTAGTTATTTTATACACTGAAATAAGTACTGTATCAATTAAATTCTTTAAAACGTAAAATATCAGCAGCACTATGCTGTAAACGTTGTTGATAAACCCCTGTGGGTGTTTTGACAACACTTACCATTGTGAAGATTCTTCCACGTTCCTCAGAGACTTCTGTCCAGCTGAAACATAAAAACATTCCCTTCCCGCCTTTTACACATGGATGTGATTTTACAGCGCTTGTAATTAGCCCGTTTTCTAGGAAGAGTTCATTGAGACATTGTCGGCGACTTTTAAACAGTTATGGAAACCGGAAGTAGCATATCTGCTTGCTCTTCTTGATCCACAACACCAAAAGGTAGCCTGCGTCTTCATGTCCAGGGTCTTTTCCCTCTATTCGTTTTACCCATTGATTTAAACTATTTATTTTTGCCTATTTAAGCATTAGTTCTTTCTGCTATCCTAGCTGAACAATGAACATCCTTAAGACCATTGTATTTCTGGCTGGTAGGCTTAGTATAGAGAATCAAATTCTTTTGCTGGCACAAGATATATTTATTGGTTAACCACTTAATGTCCAGTCTCCTCCTATAATTAGGAGTTTTAAAATTGTTAAAACACTGTCCATATAGTGTGACATCACCATATTGTATTTTATCTGCTTGCTCCAGCTCTTCAATGGAGATGGTGAATTTGTAAAAATAGTTCAAATTTCTCTTTTCACAATCATCTTTGTGACTCAAATGTACCATGAGTCAGCTATGTTTAGTATATGTGTTCGCACTGTAACATGCAGACCTGCACTGTTCCATGGTCATTTAGAGTGAGAGGAAGGGAAATGTCAATTATCAAAGTTAGTGAGCCAAGAAAACACCAGAATGGATGGATGGATAGATAGGTAGGTAGAGAGAGAGAGAGATCTGATGTTTGGAAACCAATGAAAGAATGCAACTTAAACAGAGCTTTGATAATTCATCACAAATGAGGCTCAGAAAATGCCCTAAATTGAAGCTAGATAGATGGTCCCTGTTGTTGCATAGAAATGTTAGAAGATATGACAGATAGTGCAAAGCATCTGAGATAAATAGATGTGACTGTATCTATTTGTTTATGAACATATTAATCAGGCCTAGTGGTACATCATTTCATGAAATTAATTCCAACCCAGCTGATATGAGATTAGTAAAACAGACAGATCCACAGCTCAGATGGAGGAGGCATTAAACATTTACTGTTTTTCAGGTTGCACACATCACAATCAATTGAAGCTGAACAGCAGCTGTACAGACAAAGAACCCTGGACAAAGATTGTCTTCCAGTGTGTCAAGCCTCCTAAAATAATTTAGTGCATACTAATTCAGAGCTCTCCTTTTTAATTAGTGGGAAGGTCAGGTGTGTCAGAAGGAAGCAAATGAAACAGGTTCTTAGGTTTTAATGAGGATCCAAAGTAGGGTGACTCTGATATGATTTTTTTTTTTAATTGAGATCACAGAAAACTAAAAAAAAAAATCAATTTACATGTAAGATTTGATGGGAAGATATGGTTTGGTTCTGACCTTTTGTATTTTAAATGCAATTATCATTCAGTCTTTGGCACAGGAGAAAGGATCAGCTCATAAAGGATGTTGACATAGGGAAGTGGTGCATTAATCATTATTTTGTAAAGTAAAACAATTTCAACCTTTTGCCATTTATGAAATGTACTGTATATGCCAAAAAAAAAGTATCATCCTATTTTCACGCCTGATTCTGAGATATTACTCATTATCATGTACATATTCCCAGTGAAGTTTGGGATATCAGTAACAATAAGTCTGGGACTATTTCAGCAGCACATTGTCAGTGCAGCCATCCGCTCTGCCTGCTGTGCTCACTGAAGAATTAAGAGATCGAGTGTTTCTTGTTGTAAGAACATTCAAAATGTGGTTTTAATTTGACTTGCATATCACCAGTGTGGTGGCAAAGCTTGGTCAGCCAGCAAATTGTGAGGCATGTTAAATAAATAGCAGATTCTGACAGAGATAAAATAGGTATTAAATCTCCAGGCTTGTTTCTCTAGAGGCAAATTCCAGATAATGTTACCATTTATATTGCTCAGTGTATTTTGTTCTTCTGAGAAATGTCTCCGTGGATGCAGTGCAAAAGGTGATTCTAGAAAAAAGCCAGTCTTTTTTAGATAATTATAAATATTAAACTTTTTAATGGCAAAACAGATCCATGAGTCTCAAATCATTAAACTTTCTGGCAATAGGTTTGCACACTGTATGACAGTTTTCTACTTTGATTTTCAAAGGAACTTGAGGCAAACTTCATCCAAGGAGGAAAGAGATCCAAAAGTTCAGTATCAACAACATATGCATTTGTCAGACAAATGTGTCCTCCTATTCTATGGCCAATGCACAGTCATGTAAAGTCATTGGTAACAAGTCTGTCATGAAATGGTTAACTTTACCTGTATATATCCACTGAGGAGGAAAACCCTTGACATTCCTGGTCCCCAGAAGATGTATCGGTGGTTCTCCGATGTTTCCTCTTTGGTGCACAGTGCCATCAGAATAAATTGTTCCAACTCAGATGATCCCCTTCACTTTTCATCCTGCACCATCATCAGGTCAAAAATGCAAAACTAGTGGCATTCCCATCAGCATCAAGTATTTGGTGTTATTCATATAAAACACATTTAAATGTAATCACAAATGATCTCAGTGTTTGTTGGCTGTGGGTCAGCTACCAGCCCTCCTCAAGGTCAGGAACAAGAAGGTTTAAAAAGCAAATGAGGCCTATTAGGAGTACGAGGTGCTGCTATTTATGGGGACAGTTTGCCTCTTGGGAGTTCATTAGCCCAAGCTGAGTAATTCAGTAAATATGTTCCTGGAAAAGTCACTGTACTTTCTCTTTCAAAGATGCCAGGAGGAAGTCAGGCTCCTGTTTAGTCAGCCCCTCAGAAAACCCCATCCACCTGACTTTGAATAGAAATGGTATAAGTGACAATACGACACAAGCTTGCAAGCCAAGAAAAAAACAAATTCAATTAAGCTTTAGCTGGAAGCATCTGATATGTTTATGGAAATTAAAGTTTTATGTAAATCAGTTGTCTGCCTGGCCCTGTGCCAGATCACAAGGGGCTGCACTATACTGCATCCAAATTAGCTGCCTCAGAAAACTCAGCAGGTATGCCTAACAAGCCAAAAACACAATATAACATGGGATCTAGAGAGTGTACTGAATATTTTAACAGAAATGTTATATTAGCTGGTGACTACATCTACCTATTGCAGTAAAAATGATTAATAACCCCTCTGATTAGTAAAATCACCACTCCAATATAGCACCACTAGTGCACTCACCCCTTTATCAAAATTCAATACAAAGACACATTCAGGAGCAATCAATACTAATTCTTGTAATAAATTCTTTATTTAAATAACTCTACTTTTGATTTCTTAGACAAGGTGTGTGCGTGTGAAACCCTATGTGCCACGTACACTGCAGAGCTGACAGCAATTCCACTCACAGGGTACAGTGACATCATGTGGGCGATGAAGACAACTTCAGCGACTGGAGCTGGGTCCATCACATACTGGAGGTAGGTTTTCTTATATGTCTATCTTATCTATAATCAAAACGCTGTTTGTGAGACTTGTGGATTTATTTAACCAGCCAACGCACAGCAGATATTCCTCTGTACTGTCACCTTTGTGGGCAGACATTTAACAAATAAATCAGATATTTGACATTTGCACTGTAGATGTGCACTATAGTGTACACTACTAACATACAAACAAAAAATTAAGTCATTCATCAAACAAAAAAAAAAATCAGGTTCATGATTTTGAAGAAACAGATCCTTTAAAACAAAAAAATAAACAATCTGCCCACTACCAGTCAGATCAAATTCTTATTTCAGTGTTTGAGTAAAAACCCTCTTTTTGAACACATAAGGCACCGGCAGGCCCAGATGTCAGTAGGTTTCAGGTCATTTTTGCCTTAGGACACCTGCTGGACAGATGCTACCTTGAGATGGAGCTGGTGTGGGACTGTCTAGAGGAGGTAGTGACACCACTGAGCTGGGAAAAGCCACTATGACAAGACTCCAGACTGGTCATGGATCCCCTAGAAATAACAGAAAAAAACTAACATACATATACACACACACACACAGTAAAACAGGTGTAAAAAGTATATTTAGCAAACACAGGAACACATCATTTCCAGAAATATAACCACATTAATCAGTGCAGTCTGTGTGCAAGGCAGCTTCAGCATTAGTCAAAGAAATCGTGATCAGAAAAATGCTGGGTGGAATAAATAAACTGACCTGAAATCATGAGAGGCCAGCACCTCAGTGTAGTACATGACCTTACACTTGTGGGAGGAGACCTGCAGAGAGGCCAGCATGTCATCCACACGAGGCAGGCTGGAGGTGGTGCAGACCGGGGAGCTGTGGAAACGCCACTGGAGGATGTAGAAGCCGGGCCAGCGAGTTATGTGGGAGCCCTGTTTGAACAGAGGAAAGCCCATACTGCACTGATGGAGGATTGACTGCTTTAATGTAACAGGCAGCAAAAGGGCAAAGCTTAGCTGAAACTGTTGAAAAAAAGACAGTGCAGATAGATCCAGAATAATCAGCACCATGTTCTCTCTCACCTGTACACTCTCCCCCTCCCTACAGGTAAGAGCTTTCTCCACCATGCTGTAGTCCTGGCCCAGTACCCAGCTCCTGTCTATCAGCTGAGCACTGACAGCCCCTAGGGATGTGATGCCATGGGCTCCAAGAGCATCTTTCTTAACAGGTTGAGGGGCCCTCTTCGAATGGAAGATGTTAAACATCACGTCTCCTTTACAAACATCAAAGTCCCAGGTGATGACAGAGGAGGCCTCTGTGATGTCGATCAGCATCTGAGGCAGGGCGTAAGCAGATGAGAAACACAGAGCAGCAGATAGCGAGCCATTAATCATGTAGGTGCAAGCCTGCAGTGTAGGTTTGTACCACATGGTGGCACCCTAATCCACAGTATATAATCTACCAAACACAAATTGGAAATGTGAAGAAACAGCCCCTTGCTCTCATCTTCATGCAGTCTTACCACAATTAAGAGAGCCTCATTAACACATGTGGATCAGGACGCCGATTTAAAAGCTGAGACTATACCTCATATGGAGCCCCCTTGAAGATACTGGCAATCTTATAGATGGATTCAGTCAACAGGCGGTTCTCCTCACTCTCCAGCTCCTCTGCTGTCCTGTACAGAGGTTTGGGAACCATACCTCCCTCAGGGATGTCACACTAGGCAATAATAAAAGGAAAAACACTCAGCATTGAAACACCAACAGCTCACCTATGACAACTCGCATTAAATTATTTAGATAGCACATTTTATAACCAACATCTATTGTTTGGGATTAAAGTTACAAATGGGACACACAGTTTGACCTGTATGGAGGGGTGGTGTTCTCGAAGGTGTTCGTTTATGAGATATCAAAAGTAATCCTGCACTGCTGATTTAAATTTCTTTTTTGGTGGATTTCAACCTAAGCAAATGTGCATGGTATGATAAGCATCATTTTTCATACCACGGTATACTGTGAAACCAGTATCCGGCTGCAACCCTAAACACGAGATTACATATTTTGTCTTGTGTAACTGATGCCTTCTTAATTTTATTAGAAGACATAGATCTTATGAGATTTAAGTCCTGTTTATAAAAATGTGCAAGGAATCTCACAGCACAGTCCCCTCCTAAGAAATCAGGGATGATCTCTTCGTTAATGTAGTCCACCAAGCCTCCTGGACCCTGGTAGTCATTTCCAGCATAAACAAGAAACTTCTTACGAGTGTTCTCATCGATCAGGGGGCTGACCTGGAAACAAGACACAGTCAGTCACCTGACAACATGGGAGCGACAGCAGGTTCACATGTTAAGAACGGTACAGCTCAGTCCATGAATATCTGCATTATTAATGCAACAAACAAGTTGGCTTGTCAATAATGCAACACATTTGTATTTTATATAGATTTAATTTAATCGTGTGGATAAAGTGTTGTATCCTTCATATCAACTTTAAGATCCCATTCTTAAAACACCCTCATAATACGTCATCTGTGTCATGTCTTCATTACTTTTTTTTTTTACTGTTTGGGCTTATTTTCATATAATTCTATGCTTATATCGTTACTTACTTTTCAAGACCATCAGCACCAACCTGTCCTCCTTGGAGGACCTGTACACCTCACGGGTCAAGAGAAGGGTGGAGAAGATCTTTGCAGACCCCTCACATCACCAACTGTTTTAATCCCTCCCCTCTAGATGGCACCACAAACCACTGCATGCCAAAACCACCAGACACTAGGACAGTTTCTTCCCCCATGTCATCACTCTAACAAACAGACAACTAGGACTCTAACCGTGACTCAGTGACTATAACCATCACTCTGATGAACAATCAGCCAGGATGGCAGTAACAAGTCCATAGTGAAATAAAGTGTAGATAGAGCCTGCCATATGTGCCAGTCTGATAGCTCAAAATGTATATATGCATATATTATTTATGAACACTGCCACTCCTCCACCTTCTCCCTCCCCCACCCGATTTCTCTACTCTGTTGTCTGCTGTTGTACATTGCCTGTTGCCAAAGCCCACTGAGAGCCTCTGTGCCAAAGATAAATTCCTTGTATGCACGACATACTTGGCGAACAAAGCTGACTTATCTTCATTTCTTTGCTGAACACCATTATCCTACACATTATACTACTGCATACTGATATGATAATGACCAAATCTCCCCTGCGGGGAAGAGCAACATCTCTGCATATTGCACAGCTATAATTACCTTCATTTGTTAATATTAGGTTTCTCATTCCACATCAAATGGAAGGGCAGACATTTATTCTCACCAGGGTCCAGAGCACTGGAAAAACTCTAGGTGCTCTCAGTATAAGGAGGCGACCCAGAGTCTCAGGATAGTTGGCTTTGACCACCTCGATGATCCTCAGCAGAGCCTTAATGCCCGGTCTCCACAGGTGACGCATGTTCAGACCCTCCAGATCCACCAGGCAAGTCCAACAGCTGACCGACACATTAACACAGACATGCCTGACTATATATACACACCAGCATGTGTAAACCAGATTAACAGTTAACTAACTAAGAAATGAATTAATATTTAGACACCTAATGGGTCGGCCGAAGACTCTGGTGTTTTCCTCGCAGTGCCTCAGTCCCTCCTCATTAATGAACAGAACCTAGGTCACAGTCATGAAGCTGTAGTTAATACAACTGAAGATGAATGAAAATGACCTGTTATGTTGAAGCACAAATCCTATGAATGTATTCGTGTCACCTGTCTCAGAAGCACCTCCTCTCCCAAGGCTCGTACCAAACCCTTAGTGTCCATTTGTCCCAAACGCAGGATGTACAGAGGACGGCCATCTATACACATGTCAAACACATTGTAGTAATTACTGTGTTGTTGTTCAAGTCCTAACTCTAATCAGTTGGGTCAGATAAGTTGTGAAAAGCAATGACTCATTTTGAAACAAGGGAGCTGTGACAGATGGCGTTTACACTTCGCAGTCAATAATTAACAGCCCAGTTCAACCCGGTGGACTTTATGAATACAGCTGACTAAGTCCTTCTGCCTCTTTACCTTCACATTCACTGGTCAATACATCGACAAACTCAGGAAACACTAAGATTGTGCAGTGAAATAAGGTGAAAATGAGATGACGTAAAGATAAAGTAGGCAAGAATTGCTGCTCAGTACCTCTGTCATGGTGGTGCCAGCCCCCAGTGTAGTAGTCATGGAGCAGCTGTGGCCACTCCCATGTGCCTAACAGGAAATCCACCTGATGTTGCTTCCTCCAGGTAAGACACTGGCACAAGAACTCCCTGGCCTTGTCGAGGTTGAAATCTCTGGCCCTCAGGAAGCGCAGTACATGCTGATCCTTTGGAATCTGTGCAACAGTCAAACCTTCAATGCAACACTGTGTGCTGAAGTTGGTGAAAAATGCAAAGACATTTATTAACCTATTTGGCAGTTGATGATTGTTTTCTGTTTGTAATCACCAGTAAATCTCTGAGCAGCAAAACTGACTGAAGTGTGGTAGCAGCAGCTATGCAGAAGTCTAGCTTACATGAGTGTCTAGAAATCAGTGTGTATTTTAGATAATTGCACAAAGTGCTCTGCATTAAAACAAACTGTGTTTGTGTATATGTGACCTTGCCCTTATGGGTTTCCTGGAGCCACTGGCGCAGTCGAATAAGACAGCTTTCTTGCAGAGGCGTTAAATCACCTAGGTAACGTCTGATGTAGTCAGCATCCAATTTGTCTACAGGCCAAAGTACATACAGTGCAAAGTTAGCACACATTGCATGTATCAAGCTGAGACATCAAGACTTGTACATAATATATTGCATTTTCAACATGAGAGAAACTTATTTCTGCAAGCTTTCCTGTATTTGCTGCTGTTCTTTTTAATATGACTGCTTGTAGAAACAGCGCTAAACAGTGTGTTGGCCCTTCTCCAAACCTGCTGGTGTGTTAACACACAATTAATGATGTGAAGCTTGGAAATAGCCTTTTCAATTCACAGTGATATGTGGAGCTTTTAAGATACAACAGGTACAAATAACATTTGATCAATATTTATTTTACTGTCATTACTTCCAGAAATTCTCATATTAACTGTCACCCTAGAAAAATAACTCAAGGGCATAACTAGAAAAGCTTTAGCTGCATGTAGATACTCTGTCCCAGTCCTT